TAGCTCTTTGTGTGTATACGCCCTTCGTGGAAACCAGTTGTAAATAATTGTCGAAGTTAGCGTATTGAAATAAAGTTTTACATACATACATACATACACAAGCATATATGAGCGTGCTTATGAAAGGGATTCTCATAAGCACGCTAATACACAAGCATATATGAGCGTGCTTATGAAAGGGATTCTCATAAGCACGCTAATACACAAGCATATATGAGCGTGCTTATGAAAGGGATTCTCATAAGCACGCTAATACACAAGCATATATGAGCGTGCTTATGAAAGGGATTCTCATAAGCACGCTAATACACAAGCATATATGAGCGTGCTTATGAAAGGGATTCTCATAAGCACGCTAATACACAAGCATATATGAGCGTGCTTATGAAAGGGATTCTCATAAGCACGCTAATACACAAGCATATATGAGCGTGCTTATGAAAGGGATTCTCATAAGCACGCTAATACACAAGCATATATGAGCGTGCTTATGAGACACAAAAATACGGGATTCTTTAATAGTGCAACATAGTGTAATGGTTGATTGCATGTTGCGGCTAGATTTTGGGAGGTGGAAAATTTTAGGGACGGTGAAACGGTGTGGGTTGGGGGTTATGACTTGCCCCATTAAAACCTGTTTACGCATTTTTTGCTACGATTTTCATCGGATGGATGTGAATTGATGTGAACGAGTGGAGCATGAGTTATGAATGTTTAGATGAGGATCGATGTACTCAGAATATTTATAACTTATTTAACCGTTTACATGCACCAGATGATGAAAATTGCACTAGAAATTGCTGCAAAAATAGCAAGTGTAAACTAGTGTTGATATATAATCAGAATTTAATTTTGGGCATTTTACACTTGATAGAACTATAACGCTCGAACAACCTTCTACCCAGGGCTAGCCGCACAAGTACGTCGCTGCCTTCAATTCGCGGCTAGCCTGGGTACGAGGTTGATTGTTGAAGGGAAGAATTCATGGTCTGAAATGTATATTTTTCTGAGTATCCAACTGGGATACCAGAATTCAAAGTTTAGTATCCCCCTGAGAATAGAGTACCCCATTTAGTGGTACCATAAGCATTATCAGGCCTTCAAATTAGTGCCCAAATTTTACATTTTGTTCAATCGATGGTAGTCAAGTCTCCAATCTCAAAAATTGTTTATTTAACACATTTTTTGTTAGTGAAACCAACAAGGATTAGCAATATAATAACCTGTTCCGATCAGGCTTTTAGCCAGGGTCCTAAAAGAGAGCGTCCAATTTTGGTACAATGATACATCTACATGGGTAAGGGGAGGGGGGGGGGGATCGAGAAAACATTCCTCTGGAAAACCTTTGAAGTTTATGTTACTTCATGTCAGTATCTGTTCCAAGCTCGTTCGAAATTTTTCAAACACACTTGCCTTTGTGAGTACTGAGTTTTTGCTGCTATGCTTCTTTACTTAACTACGACATTTTCATTCAGCCAAGTACCCCATCAAATTGATCAAAATGTCAAATGTATAATAATAATGAGAACTGAAGCTATTTCGTTTCAGCTATATTAATATACTTAGGGAAATAATTGAAAATAATTTCCCTTTTTCTCCAGAATTTGGGCGTCCAAAGGCGTCCATGTTTTGTCCCTGCAGGGGCGTCCCTGGACGCCATTCTGGCCAAAAGCCTGGTACCAATATGTATAACCTGAACCAACCTAAACCCAGGGTTGGTACGGGTCCTGGAAAACCTGGAAAGTCATGGAATTTCAATATTCCAAAATCCAGGCCTGGAAATCCTGGAAAATTAATTTTAGTCATGGAAAGCCATCGAAAATTGAAATTTTACATAACATTAACAAAGTAGTGTATTTTACCTATTTCAATTTACCAGTCATAACAATGAATTGCTGTTATATAACAGATTTTGCGAGAGTGAAGTGAATTTTGTCTTTTATTATATCTGTTATCGTTAAAATATTAACGAATTTCAGAAATTCCAGACTTCCAGATCATGGATTTTGAAAACCATCAGCCCTCGAAAACGAGGTTGGCATTTGGCAATGCCGACCTAAATGCCGACCTATCAACTATGAACCGACCTTAATTCAGCCAAAGTAAGATTTTTTTGGTGTTAAGTTAAAAATTTAGCGATTATAGAATTCGATTCGTAGTTCAATTAACTAAACACACTTTGGTGTAAGGTTTAAAAATTGGTGGGTACTCTATACTGTATATAATTTAGGTAAGACTCCAAAAGAAAAGCCGTACCGGCAACGCGAGACGATTTGTCGATTTTGATCCTTGTTTAAATTTTACAAATATATATTTAGAAGCGCTATAACATTTTGAGTTATTTGGTCTAGTGATGTCTTTTAAAATTTGCGCTGTGGCTGTTTTATTAACTTTCAAAGACTGAAAAATCGCGTCGCGTTGTCGAATCGCATCCGGTGTGTCTGGAACTTAACAGCAGTTCGCGGTTCCGCGGAAAAAGGCATGCTTTATATTCCAATTTCAAAAGACATGGAAACGGTTTAAAAAAAATGGCGAGACGTGCCGACCTAGGTCAGATTTAAATCGGCATTTTTTTTTTCCAAACTCAATTTTGACGGTTTTCGAGGGCTGAAACAGACAAATGGTCATGGGCAGTCATGGAAAAGTGATGGAATTTTAAATGGGAGAAGGCGTACGAAGCCTGTAAACCATAAGTTACTGATCAATTATTCAATTAATGCAATACGACAGGTAGACAGATATATAAAAATACATCATGCTAATTTTCAAAACAAAATATGAACATTTTACTTTGTCCATTGTCTGAGAAAAATTGGAAAAAGGGTTGGCTTGGCCAGACATTTGTACTTCCAAGTAAAATAATTATTTGCAGGCCTGATTGTACCCTGTCTAGGGGTGCACCGGATTCCAAATCCGGCCGGATTTAACGAATTTTCCGGCATCCGGCCGGATTTGGAAAAAATCCGGCCGGATTTAAATTTCTGTTTTAGACTTAAAAAATTCACCAAGAATGGGATAAACCATCAATTTGGCAGCTTTAAAGTTTAAAAAACACTTATATCATTATAAAATATTAAGTTATAAACAAAAAATATTTAAAAAAGGTTTAAACACATTCAAAAATCTAAACTGACACTAACTAAAAATAGTAAAAAACATAAACCGCCATTTTGAATACTGATTTATCCCCAATTGTCCCCATTAACGGTTTATCTCAAATCCGGCAAATCCGACCGGAATTTTTGTCCAAATCCGGTAAATCCGGTTCCGGCCGGATTTGAAAATTCCAAATCCGGTGCACCCCTAACCCTGTCCCATCCAAATATTAATTCCCTTAACTCCAGGCTCTCTGGCAGGTATTGAACCTGCGGCCCTACCGCGATTCCTGTACGTGTATGATAGGTCAGTCTGTTTAGTTGCCATGTGTTAACGTGAGTGTATGTTTGTATTCCAATGTAGATAAGCTTGGAAATAATGGAATGAAAAAATGAACCAAGTTGGAGCTAGATTTAGCCGTCAGCCTGGTATGTTGATAATTCACACAAAAGATTTCTATTCCATTTTTATTTTAGTATCCTTTAAATTCCACTAGCATCAATTAAATGCGAAGTAATATGTGTGCCTTTTCAATCTGACTTCTGGTGATAATTTTGTTTGGTTTAACACTGTCAGTGTGATCTATTACCTTAGCTAGGAAGAAACAGTTTAGAACTGATAGAGCTATCCAGTATAAATAAAGTTAGTTTAGGTTTCCTCCTGTAGTAACACTGGATCAATAAGAGATGATCCTTACTGGACCTCTAGGGAGAACAGTTTAGAACTGATAGAAGTATCCAGTATAAATAAAGTTAGTTTAGTTTAGGTTTCCTCCTGTAGTAACACTGGATCAATAAGAGATGATTCTTACTGGACCTCTAGGAAGAACAGTTTAGAACTGATAGAGCTATTCAGTATAAATAAAGTTAGTTTACTTTAGGTTTCCTCCTGTAGTAACACAGGATCAATAAGAGATTATTCTTACTGGACCTCTAGGGAGAACAGTTTAGAACTGATAGAGCTATCATAAAGATAGTTACTTATTTTGTTTTTGTTCTTTTAGCACACGTTCTTATACTGGATATATCGCGACCATTCAATCATGATGCGCTGGTGAATGTTTATCAAAGTCTGACAGATTTCTTCTCTCTGGTAACTCACATCAGTGGACAATTACGAGTTCCCTTGTTTGGTCTTACCACAATCGGACAGTATGCAGAGGTAATGGACCATTTGCATTATAGACTAAATTTTGATCTAGACAAAAATTTCATCACAGCTTGAAAGAGCATCACAAAATTAGTAATACCCCAAAGTTTCGTTGCGAAATGTTGTAAAATGCGGATAATATAGCCTTGCGAAGTTTGCAATTTTCAGTCATTTTAGAGTACAAACGGGAAATTGATGCCCCAACACCCGATTGGGCTGTCAATTTCTCGTGCGTAATACAAAATGACTGAAAAATGGCAAACTTCGCAAGGCTATATTATCCGCATTTTACAACATTTCGCAACGAAACTTTGGAATATTACTAATTTTGTGATGCTCTTTCAAGCTGTGATGAAATTTTTCTCTAGATCAAAATTTAGTCTATAATGCAAATGGTCCATTGGAAATTTGAAAAACTATCTTATTTGCACGGAAACCGTATACATCATAATGAATACGAACAATGTGTGATTTCCGGCTAAAGACGAAATTTTGATCGAGACAAGAAGAACGAACCATTACCATAGCTGGAAAGAGCATCTTAAAATGAGTAACATTGCAAAGTTTGTTTACGAATTGTTATGAAATGAGGAAAATATAGACTTGCGAAGTTCGCAAATTTTATATACAGTATATTTGCATTACGTGTGGAAAAATAACATTTTTGAGCCGAATGTGGTTATTTTTACCGCACGTAGTACAAATATATACAAAATTTGTGAACTTCGCTGGGCTATATTTTCTTCATTTTACAACATACTGTATATTTAGCAACCAATCTTTGCAGTTGTACTGATTCTAAAGCCTGGTTCACATATGCCTGCGGTATGCCTGCGACTGTATCATTATGCCTCTACTTGCCACCGAAATACCGGCAAAGTTGAACTCAAGTCAACTTTCCCGGCCTACCGCCGATGTAACTGTGGCACTGGAGGCAATCGGCGAACAAATATTCACATAATTCACGTTTTAAGCTACCACCGGTATCGTCGCCGGTACGTCGCAGGCACGTCGCAGGCATATATGTGAACCAGGCTTAAGACGCTCTTTCTAGCTGTGGTGTTGGATTTCGTTCCTGTTTGGATCAAAATTTAGTCTATAGCAGAATGCATGCACCTATTACATAAAATATCCCCTCCAGGCGACCTATGTTGGGGGAACAGGAACACTCACCCACATGCCTACAACATTCACAAAGTGTACAATGTGAAAAGGGACATTGCACTTCCCTACTGCTTTAGAAACCAGTAATGGACCATTTGCATTATAGACTAAATTTTGGTCTAGATAAAAATTTCATCGCAGCTTGAAAGAGCATCGCAAAATTAGTAATATTCCAAAGTTTCGTTGCGAAATGTTGTAAAATGCGGATAATATAGCCTTGCGAAATTTGCAATTTTCAGTCATTTTGTATTACAAACGGGAAATTGATGCCCCAACACCCGATTGGGCTGTCAATTTCCCGTTCGTAATCTAAAATGACTGAAAACTGAAAATTGCAAATTTCGCAAGGCTATATTATCCGCATTTTACAACATTCTGCAACGAAACTTTGGAATATTACCAATTTTGTGACGCTCTTTCAAGCTGTGATGAAATTTTTGTCTGTAGATCAAAATTTAGTCTATTACGCAAATTGTCCATTCGTCTATGTGAAAAGTGACAGTAATAACAGTAATCACGCACCAACAAATCGTAAGATTTTCACAGTTCCCAAATATCCCCTCCAGCCTACCTAAGTTGGGGGAACAGGGACACTCACCCACATGCCTACAACATTGACAAAGTGTACAATGTGAAAAGGGACATTGCACTTCCATACTGCTTTAGAAACCAGTAATTCATCGGTGTGAAAAGTTGCAGTAATTTTAACAATAATTAGACACCAAAAAATCGTAAGATTTTCACAGTTCCCAAATATCCCTTCCAGCCTGCCTAAGTGGGGGGAACAGGGACACTAACCCGCATGCCTACAACATTCACAAAGTGTACAATGTGAAAAGAGGCATTCCATTTCCCTACTGCTTTAGAAACCAGAAATTCATCTGTGTGAAAATTGGCAGTAATTTTAACAATAATTACATACCAACTAATCGGAAGATTTTCACGGTTCCCAAATATCTCCTCCGGTTTACCTAAGTTGGGGGAACAGGGACACTAACCCACATGCCTACAACATTCACAAAGTGTACAATGTGAAAAGGGAGATTGCACTTCCCTATAGGGTGTTGGGTATCAATTTCCCGTTTGTAATACAAAATGACTGAAAATTTCAAATTTCGCAAGGCTATATTATCCGCATTTTACAACATTTCGCAACGAAACTTTGGAATATTACTAATTTTGTGATGCTCTTTCAAGCTGTGATGTGAAATTTTTGTCTAGATCAACATTTAGTTTATAATGCAAATGGTCCATACATCGGTGTGAAAAATGACAGTAATTTTATTCAATAATCACGCACCAATCACCGATCACCATCACGCATTTTCATAGTTCCAAAATATCCCCTCCAGCCTACCTAAGTTGGGGGAACAGGGACACTAACTCACATGTCTACAACATTCACGAAGTCTACAATATGAAAAGGGACATTGCACTTCGCTACTGCTTTTGAAACCAGTAATTCATCGGTGTAAAAAGTTACAGTAATTTTAACAATAATAATAAATTATATATTAGAATAGTGTCTCCAGGGGCACACCTTCCACAAATTTGTTTCAAATCTGGCTATGCCTAAAAGGTGCACGAAGTCGCGGTATATATAGCTTATATGGCATCACATCGTTTTTTTTTTTGCATTTAGACAATTTTTCCGCTTCAACCAATCAAAGGAACCTTCGCTCGTCTTCATTCACTTGTGACAGAATTCAAGAGGTCCGCCATGGATAATCCCATGCCCGCATTTGTGCCAGGTAGGTACCTACAGTACAAGCTGTGATTTTGTCGCGATCTTTTTTCTTCTCGTTTGACAAAATGTACAGCTGAAGGTTTTTCGTAAATGGTCAATTGTAAGTGGAGGATTATGTACAAATTTAAACCTTACCAGGCCGTTGAGGGCAACTCACGTATAAGATTAAGGCGTAAAAAAATACCTGTGGTTCCGGTTCCCGACCGACCCTATCTTTTTCTGCCGACCCTATTATTTTTTCAACGCGATTGACCGTGCGACCCTATTTTCTCCAGGTGGTTGCGGGCTGCTCATACAGCATGCCAAAATGGCGTCTGTTGTCACACTAATTATTGAACCAAATTACCTAAATTCGTCCATAGGAAATACGCATCTCTAGTGAATATTGATGTCAGGACTCTACTGCAAATCGCCCAGCAAAAAACCCGCCAAAACCATGAAAAAAATATTCCAAAAAAAAATTATTTCCGACCTACCAACCCTAATTTTTTCACGATATGAAACCGGAACCACAGGTATTTTTTTACGCCTAAGACCCCGTGTACACGGTACCGGACGAATTTGAGACCGGTATGAAATTCGTCCGTTTCGGCGGCGTAAACACACGAAAACTACGGAACCGGACGAATTTGAGACCCCCTAACAGGACGAATTCGCGTGTAAACAGGCGAAAAAGGACGAATTTCAGACCGGTCTCAAATTCGTCCGGTACACCGTGTAAACGTGGTCTAAATGAAAGTGACAGAAAGAATAGACCCATTGCATTGACGTCACGAATCCTTAGAGCAGGGCGCGCATATATAAGCGCCCTGTCTTAGAGTGTCCTCCAGATGCTCCCTAACAATATCTGTTCGGGTACAACAACCACATACCGCGCAAAAATTAACCATTTTAATACAAAATTATTATAAAGTTTTACAAAATTTGCTTTGTTTACAAAAGTTATATTATGCATAGATTGCTAATTTGTCCTCCAGATGCATCATCACCGGCGCTGTGACGTCATGTGCAATGGGTCTATTAGAGCAGTTTCTTATATACACTAGATAGCGCATCTCTTTTAGTAAAATTGAGGCTAAGTATATTCCAGCGGTTACCCCCATTTGAATAGATGGCGGTCATATTGGAGTTTCCCACTCACTAATAAACGCTTAAAAAACAACAATAACTTTCATCATTTGAATAGTTTGAAAATGTATTTGGAATAGGTTTAACTTAATGTTTAAGTTCCGTGTTTAAGAAATAGAAAACACACGAGTCTTCTCATTTCATGGGAATATCCTGAGTCTGCAATCACGACTTCAATTTTTGAATTGCAAAATAATTAGATGCACTATCTAGTGTATATATACGATATCTACAGTGTTCTAACCAACTGAGCTGAAAGTTTTGGTGCTTGTTCGTGTACCGAAAGTTTTATACTGTCTTTATTTTTAAATTACAGAGTCATTGAGTCAGGGATTTCAAGACGTTCTTTCGCAGTATCAAAGACAACAGCAGACATTCAGACAGGTAGAGCTTTTTAAATTTCACCCCAAGGACTGATCTGTCGTGGGGGCGAGGGCACGGGACCCCACCCAGTGTTGTTCCCTGCATGCAAAAGTCCAGCCTAAAACTATGCTTGACCGTGCATTTTTTGCTTTTCGAATGGCGATTAGCGAAACTTCTACTGTTAGCACGTGATCCATTAATCCATTTCTTGAAACGATTTAATTTATTTGTGAGCTGCACTGAGCTCACGAGAAAATACTCAGAATGTTTTAGTTAAATATCATGATTAAATATGTAAAAAAGTTGTTATACAGCCATATTTTTAAATATACCGTACTTTAACAAGCAAATTTACTGTACTGTGCTACAGCAACTGTCCAGTCACGCATACGTGATAAAAAGTCGATATAAACTTTATAAACAAAATATATTATATTATAATATAGCATTTGTAAATTCTGAACGCTGATTGGCTAAGAGCCGTATTGGTATAACTCAATGTCAACACGGAAACGTCAGAAAATTTCTTTCTTTATGTTTCTTCGTGGAAATTGGGAAAACTCGAAATTGTGTGAAAAAACACAATTTCTCGTTTTCCCAATTTCCACTCGTGTTGATATAACTGTATATCAACACGGAAAATGTTAAATATTTGTTAAATGTAAAACGTAACAGAACGGCGAACATGCAGATTCGGTCATCTTAAATAATGGTAATGTTGGCAGGCCTTAAAATATTGGTTGGTCACGGACATTGTCCGATCCATTCGTGAAATTGTCCGACGTAGAGAGGAAACCACCGGACATTCTGTCCGACCAAAGTGAAACTGAGGTTTATTGTTTGTCCGACCCAAGTGAATTGGTGTCCAACCGAACTGTAGCTTTGTCCGACGTAAATCAAAATGTACCCTAGCCCGGGACTAGAGGCTTGTATGTTAAATGGAAAATCAGAGTACTATTGTATAAAAGGTGAACTGAAAATGTTGTTTTAACGTAGTCGAGCGCGGGGCGGCGAGCGAAATGGTGAAGTGGAAAACGGGCTTAAGTTGTCAAAGTCTTTTTTAACACTGCTGTTCTGGCAAGCAAGTTAATTTTGGCTTGGAAATAAGTATGAAAGAAACAAATTATTTAATATCTTTACAACATTTACCGTTTATTCATTTGTGTCATTCAGACTTATTTCCGAGTCAAAAATGAACTGAAGGTCATCGGACATATGTCCGACCCAAACTCAACGTCATCGGACATTTTGTCAGACGGCCCTGTAAAAGATATTTTAAGGCCTGCGCACAGCTTGTAACAAGTCTGCAAACAAGTTGTTACAAGTCTGTAAACAAGTTTTAACAAGTCTGCAAACAAGTTGTTACAAGTCTGTTCACAAGCTGTCAACAAGTTGTGTTTGCACTGCTTGTTCCCAGTTTGTTGTAACAAGTTTGAAACAAGCTGTAAACAACTTGTAACAAGCTTGATGGCATTATCAGCCTTGTTACAAGACTTTGCTAACAAGTTTGTTACAGCCATGATATAACAAGGATATTACAAAGTTGTCAACACAAGGTTGTAACAATCTTGTTATAACAAGCATGTAACAGACTTGTCAGAACAACCTTGCAACAAGTTTGCATGATAATTTAGACAAGGTTGTTACAAGTTGTCAACAAGACTTGTTCCAAACCTGTTGACAACTTGTGACAAGCAGTGCAAATACATCTTGTTGACAGCTTGTTAGCAGACTTGTTACAAAATGTGAGATTTTTGTGTGTGTACACATGTAAAAACGCACAAGTTGTTACAAGTCTGCGAACAAGTTGTTACAAGTCTGCGAACAAGTTGTTACAAGTCTGCGAACAAGATATCAACAAGTTGTGTTTGCACTGCTTGTTCCCAGTTTGTTGTAACAAGTTTGAAACAAGCTGCAAACAACTTGTAACACGCTTGATGGCATTATCAGCCTTGTTACAAGACTGTGCTAACAAGTTTGTTACAGCCATGATATAACAAGGATGTTACAAAGTTGTCAACACAAGGTTGTAACAATCTTGTTATATCAAGCATGTAACAGACTTGTCAGAACAACCTTGCAACAAGTCTGATAATTTCAACAAGGTTGT